ATCAATATAGCTCTTGTAATTAAAAAAATGGAGTGTCACCTTCTCGGGAAACATACGCTTAAATCCATACTCTAGAAAGCGACAGATCGCTACTTCCAGGAAGAAAGCAAACAAACGTAAGAAGGGTGTAAAAGACTTATGATTAAGAACTAGAACAGTTAACAGAAAACAATCCTTGTGCCAGCGTCGTCACTCAAAAGTAATAAAATTTAAAACTAAGTTAAATCTGAAGTTAGCCAAAGAATACACAGAAATGATTAATACGTAAGTTGTCTCAAACCTATACCGACATGACAAACACCACTAGCAAGAATAAACAAACGCCGCAGACAGACTGCTAATCTTATTTTAGAATTTCAACTATGGCCTTCAGCAGGCAGGACACGATCTGACTAAACAGTCCTTCCTTTATATACTATCTCTTTCTACCTCATTAGAATATGGGCAAACTAAAATTAAGTTTCTGGCAGGAAAACAAAAAGGGAGAATGGCTGTAATATACTGAACATAATATAACTGCTTAGATAAAATAAATAACTACTTTACAAAGTGTTAATCCGCAACTCACTTAATAATTCGATCACTCCAAAATTTCGATGAAATGTTTCTTGTTATAAGTTCTTGTTTTAAATGAAAACATACCATAAGATTTACCGTCTGCATTTGGAAAGTTTACTTGTTCAGAAAAATATATTAATAGTTCGATACCTAAATTGAACATGACAAGACGCTATACATTAATAAGAAAGTTGGAAATTTAATAATGCTTTCTTTTAAATTCTTCCTTTTTTTTAATTCCCTTTTTTTGGTTAAAGTATTCGAAGTACCTCAAAAGATCTTTGATATAAGGTATTTAATTATACTTGATGTAATAAAATGATAGAAATTGCGTGGAACCGCTTGCACTGAATTCTGGAGCACATTCCAAGCTGACACTAAGGAATCGCATATCTATTCAACGAAATATCACACAAGATCCAAAAATTAGTACTGTCAAAGTTCAGAAGATTTAGAAGAACAGTTTCATAAAAAATTAACCCTGAAGCTTTTAGAAAAGTCATTTAAGATACTTGGATACAAAGAGCTATCAGCAAGGAGAATATTCTTTGTCAACAAGAAAACAATGAAAATACACCTAGCATTGAAATAAAATTAACATTTTTAGGCACTTTGATGATGCCTCTCAGTTGGGCATTATGAAGTAGCCTTCGAAAAATCTCCTAAAACCACAAATTGTTACGAAGGCTCTCATGACGCACTGGTAATTTAAATAAATTTTCTTTAGAAAATTCAAGTAGGTGTACGATGCTCAAATTGATTAATTATTGATTCCTTAATGTAAGGATATTTCTATGTGAATTATTTATCAGTGGCCTTATTTCCATGTGAGCATACTTCTGTGTAAGCTTTTTTCCGTATGAGCATCCGTCCGAGCAGAGTCGGAAGCTGTACTCTGGTGCTTTGCAGAGAAGCTGTCTTCATCGTTATGGCCTGATAACCTGAAGGCTGTGTCGCTGATTGTTCCAGCGTGTTTATAGTAGATCTTCGACGACTGTAAAAGTGTTTTGGAATAAAAACAAAAAAACTTTCTATTAATATTGGTGAATAAAGTGTGTTTCGATACTTCATCAAGTGTCGTCGTTATTCACTCCAAATTTACGAACCCCGTACGAACGTGAAGGAAGAAAATAACGTAACAACTGGTGTCAGAAAAAAAAAAACGTAACAATATATGTTAACTTATCAGGTAATGTGACCTTATGTTACATACATAACATAACATATGCTAATAATCCCCTTCAATGCAGTTTAGTCATAATTTTACGGTGCAAAATAAGGTTCAATAAAATCACTTAATATGTGAACACATCAGCACACGAACTAAAACTATATACAAAATTTATTTACAAAATTTTAACTATTCTAAATTACTCTCAAACAAGAGTTCAAATCATTGTTACAGAGTCAGTCGGTTCTTGCTACAATTCTTCAGAACAGAGTGCAACTACAGGGTTGCCAAAACGTACAAAGTCTAGTTATGTGCTTCAGCGCTACTTAACAGCAGTTACAGCTACTTAACATATGCATCGCATAAACTTGATTTACAAGTTTAATCACTGGGTAGAGCATCAGTTGACTTAAGCAGATAAGAACAGACGTGTTCGGATCTGCACTAATCTACTCCAATATCAAGGACAAAATTCTGACCGGATAGTCACTTGTAGAGTATCTGAAAAAAAGTAAAGGGATCTTTTGCGACACTCACCATACAGCCTGGACATCGCTGATTCGGACTTCGTGTGAAAAGCTACATCTTGCTGGTGCTATCTTCCATTCTGCACAGGATGTCCGAAATGAGATTGATCTGTTTTTGGATTTGCGGCCACCAAGTTTCTGGGTCGAAGGCTTTGAAAAATTACCAAAACATTGGCAGAAAAATAATAGATTTGTGTTGTGATTAGTACCCACTCTAAAGGTACTGCTTCCATGTTTTTTCCTAACTTTATAAAGAACTTTTTTTTGGAGGACTTTTTTAAACTTTCGTTACAACCAGATATATTAAGAAAGCCGGCAAGAGCTCTAGTTACACCACTGCTCGTATCCTCAAGCGATGCGAACACTTAGCTTAGATCCCGCTGCAATACACTGCATAAGAATATCAGGTTCGAATCCGGGCTACGTGTTAGTAAATATTTCAATGCAAAGTAGCTTCGGAAATTCCCAAAGTTATCAAAATATATACATTGTCTGAATATGCAGCATTCTTCAGTATAATATCCTGATTAAGAACTAGGTGTTTCAACTTGGTGTGCAGGAGTACATAACTCCATGTACGTTTGACTTGCAGTTGTTAACACTGCAATGCGCTTCACTGGAGACCTAGTTTGGACTCTCATTGACAATAAAGGTAGGAATTTCTAAGGGAAACAGTCTCGTAAACACGTTACACAAGAGAAAAACTATGAAAACGGTCATGCATCCAACCCATTCACTGAAATTCGAACCTCGGAGCATGCTACAAGTGTTCAGTTACTTTACTGCTCCTCCGCTCGCGGTCCATCTCCCATTTTGAGGGAGTGCAATTTGGGGATAGATGGGAAGATCTCCGACCCTGTTACCCTACTCCGAAAGCACTCGAGAGGAATTTGTGCTCGTACTCCTTCACGACAATCGCCATGTCTTTCGCAAGAGCCGGGGAAATTTTATAAGGTATCAGCTAAAATAAATAGTCACGAACGTATAGACGATAGAATGAGATGAAGAACTGTCGGTAGATTGGAGGCAGGCCAATCACAAGCGAGGTGGCTACAGAACTCAGTGTAATGCCCAGTGACGTCCGCAGTTTGCGGAAACAGTTTGAGGACACTGGATCCATGTCGAGAAGACCTGGACATCGATCAAATTTGGACATCGATCTGATCGACCGTCCGCAAGTAAATGAGGATCGTTATTTGGCACCTTCAGCGTTGCTAGACACAGGACTGATACAGCTTAACAGCTCTCACATGAGCTCTATGATGCCACTGGAATCCGAGTTTCACGTCTACTGTTGCTCGAAGACTGAGACTGCATTAGATAGAGTTATATTCCAGATAGATAGACTTATATTCCGCCGTTTGCGTCCGGCTCACTGCAGCACACAGCAGAGTGGGTTTAGTATGCCACCGGCACCGTGCTTTTTACAGAGGAGTCGAAATTCAGTCTGGACACTGATTCTCGGCGTACTTGCATCTGGAGAGAGCCTGGAACGCGATATCTGTTGCCGGACCTATACACCATATTAGGTTCATTTTCAGTTCGATAGCACAATAGGAAATTTGGAGATCCTTGACCTATGAGCTTTACAGATAAGCATGCAAACATAAAATGATATTTGGATGGTATATTTTTCTCTGTTTAAATGAATATATATCTATACCAGCTTTCATTAAAATCTGTCCATTAGTTTTTCAGAAAACTGACATAATGTGCAAATTCTCAAAATTTTGCACATCGGTATAGTTTTTAATAGGCATACAAAATATTTGAAAGTCTTCGCTAAAGCTATATGCTATCTTATAGCTATATGCTATTACATTACCCTGAAATCATCGTACAAAGCAGTCACTGATTAACAATTAGGAAAGAACAGAAAATTTCTCACTGGATTTCTTTTGATTAGAAATAACAGAAGGGCGATATTTCTGCTTCCCCCATTATTTCTGAAAGTCCTGTTCGTATTTCTTTCGTTAAGGGAACACAGATACTAATGGTCTTTGATAAAAGCGTACTGATGAGAAGCAACCTTACGTAAAGACAAGAATTTTGCATCTAAAAACTTGCAGTTTAATTCTTCATGTTGCATTTTACTAACAAACTAAGTTTTCTTTTCATTCCTTTATTAAAGTGTTCCATAATTAATAATGGCTGATGTTGTAAAGAGAGAAGTAGAGGGCGCTGCTTGGCAGCGCAATGCATGTAATTAGAAACGAAATATCGTTTGATTAGGCAACATGATATCTGTGAAGGTAGTCCGCCTAACAATACGACAGTTGTAAATATGTAAATATAACGGATAATAAATAGCATTAGAAAAACTGAACCACCGGATGCTTTGTGTTAGCTCTTCGGGCCGCCATGGATAAATTCAGGTTCGTTACATTGGTGCATCGGTGTTTGGTGTGTTTCAACCCTTTGTGATGAAAATGAAAATTCTGTTACAAAAAATTTGGACATTAGGTGTGGACTGGGATGATACCCTTTCATAAGAAATAATTAAGGACTGGAGTCTCTGGCAGGCTGAATTAAAGATATTGGAGGATTTTTCTCTTCCGAGAAAATATTTTGGTAGTAGTGAAAAATCTAATGTTAGCCTTCATGTATTTGCTGACGCTAGCCCTAAAGTGTACGGCGCAGTAGCATACTTTAGATACCTTGATTCAAAAATTATTATTTGCACCAGTTTCATTACTGCAAAGGGTCACGTAGCTCCACTCAAGACTATGACTCGTTTGGAGTAGATGGCCGCTTTAGTAGCCGCCAAATTGTCTATATATTTGACAAAGCTGTTTCCTGAACTGTGTCATCAAAAGTTTCTTTGGAGTTATAGCCAAATAACTATCTACTGGATAAAGGGATGTGCAAGAAACTGGAAACATTTTGTATCGAACAAAGTTTCTGAGATTCAGTCACTCACGGATCCTGAATGCTGGTTTCACTGCAGTGGGAGTGAAAAACCTACTGACCTTTTATCTCGAGGAAAAAATGCCTTTAACCTTGTGAGAAGTTCCCTTTGGTTACAGGGACCTAGCTGGATTTCTCAACCTGAAAGTGTTTGGCCAGTAAATCAACGGATCAATATCGACGAGGAGAGCGTTCAGAACGAAGCAAGGGTGCAAACATCTTTTCATGTTTCTGTTCAAGACGTAGGATCTTCGGCATTACTAGAGTTAACGCGATTCAGCAGGCTGTTGAAGGTGTATCGAATTACGGCTTATGTTATGCTGTTTACGAACAATATAAAACGAAATCCAGTGAAAGTCAAAAGTCCATTAAGCTCCGTTGAGATTTCGCGAGCTGAGCTCTATTGGGGAAAAGTTACACAGCGAAAATACTTTGCGAAAGAGACTCTAGATCTATCAAGTGGAAAATGCTTAGAAAAGACATCGTCGATTTATTCACTTAACCCAGAATTAGATACCCATGATCTTCTGCATTTAAAGGGCAGACTTCAATTCTCAGACTTTGCTTTCGAAGAAAAACACCCATGGCTGTTACCTTATAAAGATAGATACAGTGAACTAGTAATTTTTGAATCTCATACCAAATTGTTTCATGCTGGAGTCGAAGCTACCTTAGCCGATGTTAGAGAAAAGTTTTGGATCATAAAAGGACGCCAATTCGTCAAGTCCACATTAAGGGCTTTTTGTGTAAACGATACAAGGTGCGTGCCGGTACACAGGAAACCGCTCCTTTACCACCTGATCGTGTTCTTCAATCATCTCCATTTTCTGTAACAGGACTGGATTATGCTGGTCCCTTCTTTACAAAGGACAGCAAGAATAAACATTATCTGCTTTTGTTTACATGTGCTACAACTCGAGCTTTACATCTAGAACTTGTCCCTTCTATGAGCGTGGAGAATTTTATGCTTGCGTTTCGCAGGTTTATTTCTCGTTGTGGATTGTGCTCAACAATATATTCGGACAATGCCAAGACATTAAAATGTGCTGATCTCGAGTTGTGAAAAATTTGGAAGTTTATTCAACACCCATCTGTACAAAATTTGTTTTCCTCCCACGGTATAACATGGAAGTTTATTGTGGAAAAGGGAGCATGGTGGGGAAAGTTCTGGGAAATTCATTTTAGAACGATTAAAACTTTTTTAAGGAAAATAGTTGGATGTTCTAGTCTCTGTTTGAATGAGCTAGAAACAGTCTTCGTAGAAATTGAAGCCATAATTAATTCAAGGCCCATAACGTATGTCTACAATCACTCTTGCTCATTTCTTAATTGGTAAACGTTTACTTTCTCTTCCAGTTACAAGAGTGTGCAAAGAAGACTTGATTGTGTCTAGACATTCCTTGATCAAAAGGTATAAACATCAACAAACCTTATTAAACCATTTTTGGAATAGGTGGAGGAAGGATTACTTGCTTTCTTTTAAGATCTGTGAATTTATGTCCACCTACTAAAGTGTCTGGTCAGTTTAATGTGGACCTTATTTATAAGGTCCATGGTTTAATGTTAATTACGTAGTCCTTATACATGACGACCGTTTACCTAGGAATTTGTGGACACTAGGTAAGATAATAGAAACTTATCCTGGCAGAGATGGTCAGGTTCGCTCTTGTCTAATAAAAACTCAAACAGGCAATCTGAAGAGACCAATACAACTTCTGTACAATCTTGAAATGCGTAATTAGTAGTAAAGAGTTACTGTGTGTAGTGAAGAGTTACTGTGTAATAACCTAATTTATTGTTTGCACATATATCATCTTCAGACTATCTTTATTGATTGTTGCTAAATGTAGTTTAGTTTATATAATTATAGCGAATTTTGATTTGGTATAATGTTTCTTATTTAGTAATTATTTTATAAGTTGATTTAATGTGTTTAAATATTACTTAATTGTTATTTGCAATTTGATGTAGTTTATATAGTATTCAAATGTTGTGTTTGATTTAGAAATACTGGTTTATTTTGTATTCGGTTTGTGTGAACTTAAAGAGTTCACAGGTGAGAAGTGTTGTAAAGAGAGAAGTAGAGGGCGCTGCTTGGCAGTAGCGCAATGCATGTAAGTAGAAACGAAATATCATTTGATTAGGCAACATGATTTCTGTGAAGGTAGTCCGCCTAACAATAGGACAGTTGTAAATATGTAAATATAGCGGATAATAAATAGCATTAGAAAAACTGAACCACCGGATGCTTTGTGTTAGCTCTTCGGGTCGCCATGGATAAATTCAGGTTCGTTACAGCTGATGCTATTTCCTCACATAAAATACTTTTATCATCGATTCAACTGTCAATACAGATGCTCGCAACACCAAGTTCTATTACGCAACACTGTCCAGACATTTTGTTTTTCATTTTACATTCGTATTTATGCCGTAGAACATTCCCTCCCTTTTTCTCCCAGAAAATTTCCGCACTGCGGAAAAACGAGAGCACGTAGACTCATCAAATTTTGAAAACATCTAGCCTTCGCCAGGACATATGCAACTCAAAGCTCGAATTTTGAATGTGGAAAGTTTTCTTATTTATTTTGTAAGAGTCTAATGAATCTGTTATTAACAAACTCTGTGATTTCAAAGTGAGCAGTGGAAAAACTGCCCAAAATTAAATATAACATTTCCAACACGTCAGACTGTCTTTCGACAAAATGTAAGATATTTATTTTTAATAATAATCAACAAACTGGCTGTTTAAAAGCAACATGTTGCCACTGCCCGAAATAAAATACTTTTATCATCCACGAACTAGCGAGTTGACATTCAATAAACCGTAAGATATTCAATTTATTTGCAGTTTAATCTGTCTGTTACAGAATAGCAGACTAAGCGATTTAAAAGCAATAAAAAATCCTCAAGAATATTTTTCTACATTATAATTTGATTAATTGAAATAAAACTGCGTTTAAATCATGAGCTGTCTAATAAGAAATATTGAATACTATTATGAATAATTTATTCAATTAGCTGGATTCATTAAAACCATAATATATTTTTTTCTGTACTTCATAATATATTTTTCACTAGCTGGATTCATTAAAACCCTAATATATTATCCCTGCAAACTGCTGGCGAAAATTTCAGGAACGGTCGCCAGTCGCCAATCGTTACTTCGGAATTCTAAAGGATACACTCATCTACAGTTGGTACTAAATCCGTTACGTAGTCTGTCGAAGGGATAATACGCAAGTACCATTTTTACTTCCTTGTACGAAGTAAAAGAGGTAATGTAATCGCGAAACATTTCGGGTATCGTATTTCAACGAAAATATCCAATCTGACTGCTCTTGAATCCATCTGAAGGATGATTTTCTATGACGTCTATACGTACAGACAGAATAAAACAGAAACTATTTACCAAAACGGATTGTAAAATGGATTTAAAATGGATCCAGAAGAGTTTTTTTATGACGTATGTCCCATAACTCAAAAATGAGTAGCCGTATAACGTTGAAATTTTGTATATGGGAGCGCTATAACATCTAGTTTTGCAGCCCCCCTTTTCGCTGCAATCGGTCGCACTATATATATATATATATATATATATATACATATATATTTTCATATTATGCTACCTTTTTCGGTCAGCTCAGTTTTTTATTCTTATATGTTCGTAAATTGAGCATTTTTTATGTTATAACAGTGATTTAGTTATGTTATTCTTATGTTTCAGTTAAGGTCTCTATGCCTTTAGTTAATTTATGTAATAGTTGCAAAATTATAACACTTTAAAAATTTAAGTGGCACTAAGCCTAACGAGGCCACCATTTGTTTACTTTTGAAACTCTTAATAGAGTAGTGGATTAAGTCAGTTGGTTCACCAACTTCAGTGCCTTTTTACCGAGTTTGACCAAAATTTAACTTTTAGTTTTGTGCGCCGAAAACTCTGTCTTTCTGCCCGCTGGCTGAATTGCTTGTTTTGGCGGGGAAAAAAACTAAAAAAAAAAAAAAAAAAAAAAAAAAAAAAAAAAAAAAAAAAGCTGTTTTTAACTGCATTTGTGCGTTTTGAATTTTTCCGTATTTCACAATTTTTAATGAAAACGTATTGAGCTTTTATGTATTTTTACCTACCCGCGAAATCAGACATGAATTGATTGAATGAAAAATATATCTAATAAAATTAGAGGAAATAAGTTTAAATAAAGCGCAGCAAAAAAGGCGTATAAGTTAATAAGCCGTACCAGGAATTTATCTGGCATCCACATCAGATATTTCTTTTTTATGGTAATAATTTTAAGAAATAAACAACAAAATGCTCCGAAAGTCATTTCTTGAACGGCTGAAATAAGAATAAACTCTTTCCCCCCCTTTCTACCTCAGTGTTCATTTCATTATTTATCAGCATTATCACATTTATTTAAACGTTTCAAAGCGTATTCTTAAGTGATTTATTTTGAATATAATTTTAAGTTATCATATTTAATGGTTGTCGTATAACATGATTCTCTAAATGGACTTGCCTTTCATTAACTCAGAATAACTTTTAAACATTTTGATAGTCCTTAATGAAGATCATTGCTTTAATCTGTTTCAGAATATTAACATGAATAGAAAAATTAAATCTAGAACAGTTATCCACTAAATTATGTAACTTTCTTAAATTACTGAGACATTTATTCTAGTTAATAAGGATCAAAGAGAAGACACTGTGCGTTAAGTATGAAATTCGAAGTATTACCACCAGATGGCGATGCGCTCCCTATTTAAGTTTAATGAAAAATTTAGTGATCGGCATCCGACTGATAATCTTTACCATAGCCCCAACTCATGAAAGGCCAGAGACAGAATAAAATAACGCTTTCTAAGCATATTCAATTTGTAACTGCTATTACTTTATAACTGAGAAAATAAAATCAAGGAATATTTCTATAAAATGCGTCTTTAAAAGTAGAATTTTACATGCTGCTGCCCTCTGTTGGACAAAAGATGAACTAGAACCACCTGTTATTAATGGCCAGTTTAGAGCCTGTTGCGTTGGTAACTTAGCGGAAGACGGTCTGAGAGAGGCGCATTTCTTGTTGCTGTAGCTTTAATTTATCTTTAGCTATCAGATACGATCTTGAAGATTTCTAGAAGATAAAAAGTAAGCAATATGCTAATTGCTTTTATTGAATTAAGATAATTTTCTTTTTTCTTTAAAATGTGTTAATTTTTACTTATTTCACTGATCTTTTATATGTTTCAGTTTATTTGTAGTAGCTAATGTATTATATGGTGTGTGATATTATACATATAAGGAAGAAATTTTAAATTGTTTAAATTAATAGTCTTAAAATTTATTAGAGTTTTATCTTGTATTTTCTTATCACGCTGTTGATTTTACTTTTCTCGAATGGAAATAATGAAACACTACCATTTGTCTCTTCATGAATGAAGCTGTCGTGAATGAAATGAAAAATGGTAATAAAAGTTGCTTCTGAAAAGACAGTGACAGCATACTTAAGATGTGCTTAATACTTGTTCTGAAAGAAGAATTAATTAGAGAGAAAAATTTCAGTGCAGTTTTCAAGGTTTAAAACTTTCATGAATAATCCTCTCATAACATAATTTATGCCTCTGTTAATAATATAAAATAAGGAGTTTATGGCGTTATTCAAAGAAATGAATATATTATTAAAATTTTCTTTAATTTAGCTATAGAAAAAAATAAATTCATTGTTTATAATCTATTTCGCAAAAAGTTATTAAATACAAATACTCGCCATTATTTATTATCTTACTAAATCAGATTTTAAAGCATTATAAATATTTATTTTTTCTGTTAAGTGATCTTTTTAATTTAGTTTGTGCTTGATATCAAAATTGTACAGTATAATTTCAAGTGCCATATTACGCAGACCTGTAAGTTTGTGTTCATTTAAATTTGGAACTTTTTTAGAAAATTTAGTACCAAATAATATAAATACTCACATACATATATAAGCATATTTATTAAAACACATTTATTAGTAAAAACTTATATATTTATTTAATTTTTTGCGATGATATTTTCTCATGCTATTAAAAATGCTTAATAATAGTTTTAATGAAGCAATGTGTATATATTTTATAACAATGGTAGAAAAATGTCATGTACTTTTCTACTGTGCAGAAAGGTACAGAATATCATGTAAAATTATGTGAACGTATTTTCATATTACCAAAATAATTATAAAACCTTTGTCGAAATTACGAAAACAGGTTTTGCAGTATAAAAATATTTCAAGAAAATTTGAACTCATATTTTTTTCTGGTTTGTATAAAATTCAAAAGACTGTGGTATACAAAACTCTCAAGACGAATGAAGTGTTGAGTTAGAGGCTATATAGGAAAAAAATCTGATGTGTATACCACATGACTTCCTTGTACGGAATATTAAATTATACGCACCTTTTCCTGCATTTCATTTAAACTTGTTGAATTCTACTTCGTCGATAACGCTTAAAACACAATAGAATAAATTCACTATATTTATTTACCATAGCGATACTCTGTCACTAGGTTCACTTAACAGCGTTGCATTTCATTCATTTTATAACTCAGAATGCACAAAATTTATATCATCTGAAGAATTATCTAATCGTTGCAACATGTTCTATTCAAATACTATAATAAATCTAAAACGATGTATAAAAGAAATTAAACAAATAATAAAAAAGAAACAGTTTTTCACAGACGATTCAGCGCTGCTTACCGTATGCGCTATACTTAAAAATGCTCCTCTGTCCGATTCAGACTGGCGACAATATTCGTTGCTAATACGAAACACTTATTTCCTCGAATTACGCTGAAGATATATTTCTCATTTAATTAATTCAGTTCTCATTTCGCGGCATGGCAAAAAAAAAAAAAAAAAAAAAAAAAAAAAAAACTCAAAATATCTTCATTAAAAATTGAAAGATACAGAAAAACATAAAACACAAAATGCAGTTAAACAATTTTTACAATTAAAATTAGAGTTTCTGCGCAAAAACAAGCAATTCGGCCAGCAGGTACAAAGGTAGATTTTTCAGTGCACGAAACTAAAAGTTTGCTTTTGGTGCCACTCGGCGAAAAGACACTGAAGGCGTAGAAACTAACTTAATGTATTTTATACACTATGCTGAGTCGATATATGAGATAATTTAATAATTTAAATGATAATTCCAGACTGGATTAAGCATGAGTTAATTTGTAATAATAAAAGAAGACGATCGTAAATGTGCTCGTATGCGCAGATGCCACGATAAAAAATCTCTTCTGAATCCATTTTAAATCAGTTTTATAATTTTGATTGGGGAAAAAGAGTCCTTTATTCTGTCCTTACGCAAAAACATCGTTAAATTGCATTCGATAGCAATAAAAATGTATTTTCGTTGAAATATGGTACCCGGAATTTTTCGTGATTACAATACTTCCTTTACTTCTTAGGAGGAAGCAAAAATGAAAATTGTAAAAACGTTACAGATTTTCCTTATACCCCAAAATGATAGTTTTTCTGAGTCCGAAATTTAGAATTATCTAAAAATTCAAAGATTACGGATGATAGTAATTTTTGAAATATTTCTTAAAGAACATCATTAAGTAATAAAGAAAAACACTTTTCTTTGTTTAAAGGAAATTACTTAAATACCATAAAATGATATACCTAATAATAATAAATGAATACCTAATAATTTGTTTTTGAAACTCATCATGAGCGAAAAAACTTAATTTAATATGTGTCTGAATTTAAATTTTATTCAAAATTAAATTCAATAAAATAAAGTTCAGTGAATCATGAAGAAAAGCTTAAACCAGACATCTGAAATTGGCCGCATGTGGTCCCCGAAACGGTTTCATGTGCCCCGCGATGACATTTCAATTATAAATTTATTGCAAATACAGTGTTAGAAAGATTTTAAGATTTTAATTATTTGAAGGACGAGTTTATATAATTTCATTGCCATTAATAAACATTTCATTCATTAGTGCAGCAAAAAATCCATAAATGGAGTTAACAAATTTTCAGTATGGTACATAAATCTTCTTTAAAATTTGAAGGTACAGATTTTATTAACTGTTAATCGTAGTTGTCAAAAAATAAATAAGCTCTATTAAGAATTTTTGCTTTACGAATAATCTCTTTGTTCAGGAACACATTTACATGCGAGCAGCTTTTTCTCACAATTGGAAATTAATTAAAAAATAACCCTATTGCTCTATGATTATTTACAGTCCATGGCGAAGATAATTTTTAATAATTTCTCTCCGAGGTTACAAATTTTTTCAAAATTGAAACAGCATCCTACGTCAAATAGTAGTAAGATATAAAAGTTTATCGTTATTTACATACAAACATGTGCATTATCATTTATACGTAGAAGAAAAATTTAATAAGTAAGGTAAACAGACTAAGTTGCAATTATTTATTTTAAAGTTTTCTCCTCTGGAAAGTTCAAAAAGCTTTCATAATTTCTTTCAATTTAAATTAAAGTAAATTATCTAATGAATAATTAAACATGTTAGAACTATTTGAAGAAAACGTCACTCTGAAATGCAATATAATTGAATTACAAAGTGTAACCAACAAAATTATCTTGCAGGTACCAAACATTCGATTTCTAATAGAAACTAATTAAAAGCTTGGATTTCTTTAATTTGCGACGTTATTATTATTGTTCATGTATATTAAAAAAAATACTTAGTAAGTGAAATTTAAAATTTATTAAAATTTTTTTAAATGTTTGTTAAATTTTTGTTTAATTTTGGTCCATCAGCTGTTGTCAGCTCTCGCGTGCAGCCCGTGGGCAGTTTGAGCGTGACACCACTGACCTAAAAAATTTACTCTGTATATTTTCACGGCTAACTAAGAATAATTTATGCAATCACCTAAAACTAAGAATATGATTTTAAAATGAAATAAAGAAATCTGAAAGGTTTCAGATTTTAAGGGTGCTCCAAAAGGATTCGTTATAGGTTTTGCGTCCTCGCTGAGCTCGTAAAACTTGCAACCTATCAGTCTGCTGTTGCACTCGCTCCTGCTAACACCCTTTTTATTGTGTGTGTCTTTTAGCTTTATTATTTAGCATGATTTTGTTCGCATTTGCGCCATATACAATTTAATTATAATTATTAATTCATTCTTATTATTTAAAATTATAAGAATTTTAAAAGCAGCATAGTAACATATGTTAAGAATTCCCGATGAAGTGTTAAGTGGCGACACACATTTTCCTATTCTTTTCAATCTTTTCTCAATTTTCTAATATCTATGTTCAGTTTTTTTAGTAACATGGCTTGCAAAACTCTTTTTATCTTATTATTATTAACGTTTTGTGGGTTTTACTCATTAAAATCACGTTCCACGAACTTAAGCCACATAAAATACAGCTCAGCAACAAAATCACAAAATATTTAAAAACAGCTTATCTTTAGAATTTCCGATAGACAGCCTCGAGATAAAACTGTTCTATTACTCGCTTACAAACGCTTGAGAATGCTGATAAAAAATTCATTAAAGTTTTATAAAGTATGAAGTAGGTTATAAAATAAATAGGAAATTCAAAATTCTGAGCTTCTAGGTACCCATGTTCGGGTGGAGAACTACGTTATTCAAAATTTGATAGCTCTAGGTACCATCGTTTTCGCACAGTGCGAGATATAATCATGCAGATTTTTCATTATTTAATTTCATTAAAAATAATGCAGGGCGATAATATTTGGTGACAGCAACTTGAAAAGTGATACGCAATTTATAGTGATTCAACCCCAAATCCCGTTTCGAGACTAATAGCCCATTTGGGTTAACGCCCCTTTTGGGTTAATAATTTGCTCTTGTAGAAGGCTGATGCATCTGTTTATTTTATAATGCATATGGAATTTTTTAATTTTTATTCAGTTTCTTTTTACTTATCACAATTCATAAAAATAATAATTATAATAACGGAAATTAGCATAATATTATCATTAATCATTATCATAATTGATTTGTCATTAATTATTTTCATTAAATTTTCCCCTTGCTTTGGTGGCAAAGTTTGAATATTACAAACCTCTAAGTTAATGTTCGGTTATTGCGTTTACTAAAATATAATTTATTTATGTGTTCCTGGAAACTATGATACGTATTCCTTAAAATATAATTTAAGCAATAAAGTTAAGACACAAGGACAAATTCCCTGACTTGCATATAAAATGGAAAATCGATTATCCGTTACTCTTTTAACCGCCAGTTTCTGTTATCCGTCAACCACTGAAACAGTACAATGAATATTATTAATCCAACAAAATATGAAAAAAGAAAGGTTATCGTAACTTACAACTATTTTTATTAAGCCATAAATTACGTTAATTATACATTTACTTATATAAATGAAGAAAACGTATAATTTCAAATGCAATGCATCGTATTATACAATGCGATACGTTCATTTTTATTATAATATTAACTTTTTATACGTTGTGTAGTTGCCGTACATAAATAAGCAAAAATATTCTTATTTAAAGTAGGTTAGACAGGGCAATAAATATTGTTTTAGTTTTGTTAACAATACTTAGAATAATTAGAAAAAGCTAAAACTAAATAAAAGCTGATTCTGTGTAAAATAATTATTTAAATGAAAACTTATGTTTCAGACTCTCATCTTTTTAGTCCGAAAGACATGTTATCAATGAAATTACTCAGTTGAAAAATCATTTTCAGTTAATGAATGATCCCATATTTCCTATAATTGTATTATATTCGCTAGGTTAAAAAAACTAGCGAGTTTCCCTTGTATTACGTTAAAATATCATATAAACTTCATTAAAAAAATTTTATGATCTATCCGATCGTACAAACTGAGATTTTTCAACTTGATAGTTAAATGAAAGTATGTGGTAAAAATTATTTGGACATTAAATTAAAAAATTATAAATCGAATTATGAAAAAAATTCCTTTCACCATACTGTATTGTCGTCCACAAATATTGTATGTACGAATTTTAAATTCAATAGTTTATTAGGAATTAGTTTAAAAATCGAGGACAAACTTCGACGTAGCGACAAAACCATAAGTGAGTTGAATAAAATCTTACAATAAATGGCTAAAATACTGTATTAAAAGATTCGATATTGTACTATTAAAGTAAACTATACAAAAAGACTTTTATGTAGAAAATCTCTGTATATAATATATAGATGTATATATAATTGCAAAAAATTTTTTTGAAAACAAAATATAATTCTGCCTAGTATTTTTGCGCATTAAGCTGCTAAAATATTATCAGTAAAGACATAGAGTAAGAAATTTAGAATTAATTTTTGTATTCTTATTTAAGTCTTATCACCAAAGTTTTATAATTTTGCTTACATTTTAAATTCTTTGGATTATGTGCTATTTGTTTAAAGGTAAAATTTTCATTTGGATATTTTACTAAAATATTTTATTATTTCACTGACGTTTTCAATTCGTTGACTCTCTTTATTTAATATAGAAGATTTAAATTAGAATTTACATTGCTTTTTCCTTGCTTTGGGAAGGGCCCAGAATTTTAGGATGAACTATTACAATTAAAATACATTGAAATGGCTCATCGGCTAATTCTGAATACAGAAAATTTCTCTTCCATGAAAATCCTTGCTTTTCTGTATCCTGAAGTAACCGATGGACCATAAGAAATCTACAAAGGTCTTTTAGAACTGACAAAATTTTTTCCTGAAATACTTAATATTCCGGATTCACAAAAATGAAAGAATTTTTACGATTTTCGCTATACAATAAATACTACTATTTGAAGAATACATCTACCGACGTTTTCTTCAAATAGTTCACCAGTAGACGTTTTGGCATCCTCGTGCTGTACCGTTGGACCTGGTAGAGAACAGTGTTGTCATTGCACGTTCCAAAAATTCATGCAAAATATACGAAATAAATAAAAAAAGGAATTCGAAATTCAAAATTTGAACTTCGAACTGAACATTTTCGTGATGAAAACTATATGTGATCAAATCTGATGGGTTTTGGGTACATGCATACAGATTCTTTATTATTTAAAATTAGAGGTATTTAGTTTAATCAGTAAATTTATCGTCTTGATTGCTTGATTTGTCTCGGTGTTTAAGACACGCCCATCACTTAAAGTGATATTAATCAAAATCTCCTCACTAATACGGAACACAAAAACAGGACAAAATAAGATTATAGAAAGTTAAATAAAAACTCAAAAATAATTATGTAAAAAATTATTTTCTCCTTTTTTTCTCAAGATTACGGCAGATAAAAAAACGATTACCTTCTAGATCCTTTTCTTGAAACTGACAGTTTTTACCTTTCTAGAATGTTAAAATTTATGCAAATGAGGTTAGATAATTAAATTATGCGCCAGAAAAAGTATTCTTAAATTGTGTAGGTGTCACACTAAATTAATTTTAATAACATGGTGATTAAAAATATAATGTCAGAATTTATTTTAGGCTCTAAATTGAAAATTTATTACGAAGCACGTATTTTAAGCTATTGTAGCTTCGATGCAAACAAAGTTCGGGTAAAATATTCATTTTGGAATTCATTTTCCTGACCTCATTTTAACATAAAGGAAAGCAGTCTAATTCATGACTGAATTTATTTTTTTTTTTATCCTGTAAAAATATTAATAGTTATAGCTATCAAAAATTGGTATGTTATGTAAGATGGTCGACAATGATGAATATTAATGGCGCTATTGTTTCCTTTGATGGTGGGGGGGGAGCATAAAAAGCGAATAATTAAACATGAGAAAGTTGACAGCTATTTTTAAGTTCTATTCCCTGCTTCTGCACAGATTGGCCGGGTTGGCTGCTCTAGGTTATGTTATTCGAATATGGCAAAGCCAAGAAGACCATTTACCTAAGAATACAGATGCTTTCGTGGAGGAGTTTCTGAGGGTATGTGATTCCTATTCACATTACCCATGGGCAAAACCACGAAAACCAACCGTGCAACCAGTTCATTCGCCTGCGACTGAATCCAAACCAGGTTGATACAAGCGGATACATGGGGGTTTCATGGTTTATCTCATGTGTAATGCTAATAAGAAACAGTTTCTTTGCAGTTTTTTAAACGCTAATACGGAGCAGTCTCTTTTATGGAATACACTGTAACAAATGGTATTCCATGAGAGAGAATCGAATACCTTTATTGAGAAAGGAAGGTACATCTATAAAGAATTATTTCAATCCCCGTGCGTATTTTTGTGGCGAAAGTGGTTAGCAAATCCAGCAAAGCGTGGAAAATATGAATCGAATTCTTGGCAGCGCAGTTAAATTTTCATATTTCTTGCTCCAAAAATACCAACTGATTCCGAAATGGGCCGTATGATAATCCGTCACCTCCTACATTCGGTAAATTGGATCTCGTTTCTTTCCGCAGTCGCCCTTTCAGTGGAGTATGTAAGGCATCCTCACTTTCGTGCGTTCGAAATTTAGCATGTTAGCACGCTCAGTTGGCAAATGATAGATGGATAGCTCGAATCCTGGGAAGAAGATGATGCATCTTGCTCCGAAAAACGTAATAGACTGTGATGACAACCCTGAACTAAAATAAGCTTCAATATGTGAATTGGGTTTGTCTCTCACCAGTAAATTCTCACCAGTAAAATTAAAATTTCCTTTTAATGGAAATAAAATACGAAACGTTTTATCAGGTTCAATGTTCCGCCTTACTTTCTTTGGGAACATGCAGAGACCTGACTCGGAACAGGGAGCTTACTAAAGCTATGTTCAATAAATGTGGGAAGTAGACAAGATACACAGGAAGGGTATACGAAACCCTTTATTTTTCACTCTTTACAATGATTTCCGTACTTCGGAATACAGAGACCAACCACTTGTGGTCTGAACGTAAGAATATAAAAATATTAACTAAACTCTAACTTAACTTTGGAATAACAAACAAGGGCCTACGTGGAAGATTGGCCGTATATTAACAGGAAGCCGTATGTAGTACAGAGAACTGTTAACACTACAATACGTTTAAAATTATTAAGAGGATTAAACCTCTGGCCTGGAAGGCAACCAGCAACCGAGTAAAACTGCTAAGGCAAGCGGCCTGCTTCGACTAACTCCTTCCTCTCTCTTGCTTGGCACAAAGCCACAACTTAAGTACTTGGCGTTCGCCAGACAAATTTGCATAAATAAGTTTAAGCTTTTAATTCTGGCCGGAAGTAGAAAATAAGAAGTGATAGTAAAGATTTAAAATATAAAAATAAACGTTAGTAAAACTTAAGATCCTTACAGTTTCACTTAACACAAGGTTGTTAGATATTGAATATCTCTGCTATTAAATAATGAAATAATCTGCTTGTATGTATGTTTCTACGTTCCTTGCACTGCGGAAAATAAAATACGAAACCTTAACCATATCACCATACCACCTTTTGCCTTAACCATACCACGAGTTTCAAGTATGCACATTTTAATATCGTAATAAGAGAATAAAAAGCAAAGGAGCTGAATGAAAAAAATCGAAATAACATCTCTTCAGACTATTTAACTTTCATTTCGAAATGTTTGTCGAATTAAAAATATCCGGGTGTTCATTCTTTACTTTTATGATGCACCTATTGAAAGTAGGTTGACTGAGTAAACGAAATAAATGATTGAAATGTATACTTAAACAAACGTTTATCGTTTGCTGTTTTGGTATTTTTTTAGAAATGCGGTATAATTTTTCCCTATCAAAGAAAACCACATTTAATTCAAATTATGAGTGATTCTATGCTTCTGTGGCATTCTCTGTAGCACTGCAAGCTTTCATTTCTTGATATAATCATGGACTACATCACTTTCATGTTAAGTAATACGAATATAAATTTCAAGAAAACTACCTGTCTGGAACGATTGCTTTTAATTCATTATCCTTCGAATCGGCAAGACTTAAAAACGGTAGCATTCTTTAAGTGAAATATTTATTGAATGAATGCTACACTATTCATGTAGGTGAATTATTTTTAGTATTCATATGCTCTAATGAATGATAGCATAACATTTGGGAACAGGATCATTAAATTATGAATATTATCATAATGAATTATGAATACTGTCGTTACGAATAATAAATATTATCATTATGAATTATGATATTATTATTATTAGTTAAATTATGAATATTAGCATTATGAATTAAATTAGGAATATTACATTGTACTATTATCATTATCATTGTTAGTAGTAGCGTAACATTTGAGAACAGGATCTTATTTCAAGTTCCACCGGTAGATAAGTGACATTCTAACACACTGCTCTAACACACTCTAACACTCTAGTCTCTAAACACTGGTATTTCGACCTGGGTTCAATTCCAGGCGAATGTATTAGCTGAATGGCAGTTTTCATGGTTTTCTCCATGTGTAAAGTGGATGCAAGCCAGTTTCGCTTAGAAAGTCCTCCGTGAAGGCATTCCCCCCGTTATTCAGAGAAACCTTGCTTGCTTTGGCGTAATTTAATAAACTAAACTTCTATCTTACTATATAACTTCTAGGGGCGTTAAACAGCGATCTCAGACTCATATATGCAGGCCGACTGCGTGATCTGAAAACAGATGAAGAACCAGACATTTTTTTTAACAAATTGCCAAATTTTATTAAAAAATTTTATAATAAATTTTAAATTTTACTTACTAAATATTTTTCAAAATATGTATAAACAAAAAACAGAATATCGCAAAGAAAAAAAAGTCAAATTTATATTTATTTTCTATTTGAAATCTTAAGTTTGGTACTTATAAGACATTTTTGTTCATTGTTTCACTTTGTAGCTGAAATATACTGACGGTTAAATTTTGACTTCTTAAACTACATTTCCTTCAAACAGTTCAAACAAGTTTCATTAATCATTAAATAACTTAATTTAAACTCAAAATAAACAAATTATGAAATTTTTTTTAATGCTTTGAGATAAAATTTTACAAATGGTACAAAACTTGAGAATAATATACAATAAATCTAGTCCTAAATGTTAGTAGTATATAATTATAAACTTCTTTGTTTCTACTACAGCTTGACGCTTGATCGCATTTCTATTTTGATAAAGTTTTTAGCCTTGCAGAGAAATTGTTATGAATGACCATTTTATCGCGATTTGCAGATGCCCATCGTTCAATCGGGTTGTTAATTTTCAAGTGTCAAAAGAAAAGTTGTTCTCATAGAAAAATTTTCCTAAACAAAGCAGTAATTCTTAGTGAAAAACTTCGTAATTGAGCTTATTTATTTTTCGACAAGTAGGAATAGAGGTTATAAAAATCTGCATTCTCTGTGAAAAAAATCTTTGAATAAGATTTATATGACATTCTACAATAACACCATTTAGCGATTTTCTGATGAACTTTTATGTTCGTTTTTAATGGAAATAAATGAAAAGAATATAAACTCCGAATTTTAATTTTCATTTAAAATGTATCGGATATAAAGTATTCAAATTTTTACAGATTATAAAAACAACCGTTTCTTCCTCTTTCAAAACAAGAATGATCAAACGATATTAAGTGAGAGTGTTTTCTGCATTAAAAAAAATATATTGCACTTTGAAGCAGGCAGGAAAGAAAATCGTTTCTCATGAAAAATTTGTGTTTGACATCTTGGCGCACTTTAATGACGAATTAGCGACATTCCTTCATAAGAAATTTTTTTAATGGACATCGTGTCATTAAGTTTGAGATATCTGATGTGGACACCCCACGACTTCCTTGTACGGCTTATTAAATTATAGACATATTTTGTTGCAGTTCACTTAAACTTTTTTTTTTTTTTTACTTCGTCGGATTTCATTGGAGGCATATTTCTCATTCAACCAATTCAGATATAATTTTGCGGCGAGGCAAAAATACATAAAAACGCAAAACATCTTCATTAAAAACTGTAAAATACAGATAAAAGCTAAAAGACAAAATATAGTTAAAAACACCATTTTTACATTTAAAATCAAAATTTACATGCCAAAACAAGCAATTCGGCAACTATGCCGATTCTGATCTTCCGAATTTCTACGTGAAAAAAAGTCAACTTTGGGCCTCACTGGGCAAAAATATACTGAATTTGGTGCATCAGCTAAGTTAATTCCGTATTACACTAAACGAAAACAAATGGTGGCCCCGTTAAGCCAAACTACTTAAAAATTTAAATTGCTTATAATTCTACAACTAATGCATGCAGATTAACTAAAGGCATAAAAATCTTAACCGGAACATAAGAAAAAACTAATTTAATCACTTTTTAAAAGCAAAACATTCCGAATTTACCAACATATAAGAACGAAAAAACTGAGCTCACCTAGCCGGGTAACAGAGTGAGTATACATATATATATGTATATACATATATATATATATACACACAGTAAGATCAAAAATATGCGTATCAAAATTATAATTTAAACTAACGGTAAAACTTTAATTCTCCTTCTCTGTTCTGGAAATCGTAATAACTTCTCTGAATTGCGTCATTTCTAGATCATTCCATTTTGCATGTCCTGCCCAATGCTGATGACGTAATAATTGCAAACTGAAACTTTTTTAACTGAAACCAAAACTTTTCTCTTCGTGTGCTTCCATCTTGCATAACTACGCAGTTCTGCTCTCTCTGCTCTGTTTGGATGTAATTTCGCTATGCTGCTTCCTATTGCTATAATATCAAAAACGTAAATGTTCTGTGAATAGGCACGATTAGAGTGATTGTGGCTATAAAAGTCAGTTGCAAATAAAAATGGAATTCAAAATACCTCGCTGCCAAGTTTCTTAGATATTACGAACTTTCCATATTAGCATACTATGCAATCGAAATGCTCTCTCTTCAATATGGATCTAATAGCTATTATGCATCAACAGTGTTCCGTCTTTTCCTGCTCTATTATTTCATATATATATATATATTATAATAAAAAAAAATACGTTGAAATTCGTTGAAATAGGATACTCGAAATTTTTTGCGATTACAGTATGGCCTTCATTTCGTACAAGGAAGTAAAGGTTTTTATATTTCCCTTTTAGAA